AGTCTGAGCATGGGGCTCACTATGCCCCCTGCCTTCACTAGCAGGACCAAGTACTGATTGCCCCAGATCCCTAAGTGGCCCCCTCAAGGACTGAACTCACAACCCTGGGTTTAGCAGGCCAATGCTCAAACCACTGAGCTATCCCTCCCCAAGAGCTTCCTATGCTGTGTTCCAGTTGACTAATAAACCCTACTGCTTTGACAATGCCATTTGAGGGTCACTGCAGATGCTTGGTGAGGTGTGTTAATCCCTGAATATACAAGTCTCTACCAGGAGTCTATCGCAGTTGGATTTGCTGAACAGAGCTCACAGCGTGAAACATGAGTGCTGGAGCCACAGATGTTCAGTCTTAGGAGGTGGTGAGCCCGGTGGCTTACTCTGAAGGAAGAATGAGCCTCCTTGGGGGGGTCTGGCATACTGAAGGGATTCCTCCAAGACACTGTTCCAAAGCTGGGGGCATAGCACCAATCCAGTGGATTCATGCTGCTACTCTCTCAATTAATATTGTTTGTTATATCAAAGCAACAACATTTGTTGAGAACTAAGGAAGTCAGTGTAGAATCCTTACTTTTCAAGGGAAAGGGGAGAGAAGAAGACATCTGAAGAAAACATTTCTTCCTTCTTTTCTGAATCTTTGCATCAACACTTTGAATTGAGTTTTCTGAAGTGAGTTTCTGCAACACAATATCGACTGATAACTACTCCTGAGGGCATTCTGCACCCAAAAATTAAAAATTATGCACCAAAAAAATAAATATGCGCAAAAATTTAAAATTCTGCAAATTTTATTTGTCAAATAAATGTGGAGGCTCCAGCATAGCTTTGGGGAGCACAGGCTACTGGCTACATAGAGGTGGGAGATCACTCTGCAGCTTCCCCCTCCCCAGACACTGGCTCAGCGGTGAGGCTGCATCCAACCCTGACACAGTGCAAGGACCGGGCCTGCCCCAGAAACACTCCAGGACCCTGCCCCTCTGTGCCAGGGGCACCAGGTGTGAGCAGGCAGGATCCAAGTGTGGAGGGACTTAGTGTAGGGAGGGATCCACATGTGGGTTCTGTGTGGGGCAATCTGGATGTAGGTGGCTCAGTGGGGGATCCAGGTGCACAGGGGTGGTGGGGGGTTCTGGGTGCAATGATAAAGGGACGCTGCAGGGGGGTCCAGGTGAAGGTGGTTGGGGCTCAGCAGGGGGGTCTGGGTGTAGAGGCCCAGATGCTGGGGGAGTGGGACTCAGTGGGGTGGGGATCCTGGTGCAGGTGGCTCGTAGAGGTGGTGCAGGGGGACTGGGGCTCTGCAGAGAAGTTCTGGGTGCAGTGAGGCTTGGCAGGAGAATCTAGGTAGGAGAGGGTCTGGATGCATGGGGGATAGGCGGATGGGGGAGCAACTCCCCATACAGCGATCCCTCCCCCTGCAGCTGAGGAGCAATGGGTGCAGGGAAGAGGGAGTTTTCAGAGCTTCCTGAAGCCTGGGGAGAAATCTGGGGGTGGGTCTGACCCAGCCCTGGATGCTGTGCAGGGGAAGAGGAATTCCTATCCTCCCCAGCCCAGCTAGGACTAGCAGTTGAGCCCAGGACAGGGTAGGAGCCACCAGCCGGGTCTTCCCCAGTCCCAACCCCTGCCCCACAGTGATTTACCTCTCTGCCAGCTGCCCTGGGCACCCAAAACATACTGCTGGGGAGAGTCGCATGACTGCTCTTGTGGCTTCCCTGTCAAAGTAATTTTTCTGTGGGGAAGCAAGGAAATATGTAGGGTACATGAATTCTGCACATCCACAGTGGCGCAGAATTCCCCCAGGAGCAGATAACCAAGGCAAATCTGCCAGTCGTGGGCCTGGCAGTAGGTGTAAAGACTTCTAGGATTTTCCAAATTCAAGATGACTGACTACCCTAGATATGTCGATATAACAGATGAAGAGGAAGTAGGTAGTCAAGTACTATTTCTATTGGTTTATACAGTACAGGTTTTTACTTTTAAATACAATCTTTGAATAGAATACAAATGCTGTTTTCTCTTACTTAAATTAAGTTTGATTCACCACTGAGGTTACAGAACATTTATTGTGTGCCTCCTGAAATCTTTGCAATTCCCAAACTCACTGAATGGAAGCTCTTTTGAAGAGAGTTGTTACTTTTGCTATCTTAAGAGTGAGCACGTGTTAACACGCATGCAAAATAAAAGACCGGTGCTAGATCAGAAGAGTAACACATACTGCTGTACTTGTTTAGCCAAACAGATTTCCTTAAGTAGCAGTTCCCTCCCCTGACCCAGCAAAGCTCCTAGATATTTTAGATGTGACAAAGTGTCTTTATTAAGATCATACTACAAGCTATTTGTACTAAACATCTGTTCAAAACTGAGGACATAAAGAAGCAGCTATCTTCTTTGGGATATTTTTGCCATATTTAATACAACTGGATGAAACTGGGAAGCAAATGAGGTTTTCTGTAATTGTTTAGTTTGATTTTATCTTCTGATGGTCTACAGAATTTGCATATTACCTAGATCTCGGGCAGATTAAATATAATAGCAAAGCTGGGAATGGGCAACAGGGGATGGATCACTTGATGATGATTACCTGTTCTGTTCATTCCCTCTGAAGCACCTGGCTACTGTCCAAAGACAGGATACTGGGCTTAATGGACCTTTGGTCTGACCCAGTATGGCCATTCTTATGTTAACTTTCTGCAAGATTAATTTTGCAGACAATTTTTATCTTAAAAATAATCCTGCTTTCTTAAAGTTATATTTAATTTAGTAATATTAGTGGTTTTAATTGAGAAGTATGTTGTACTCAGTTGAGCATTTTGAGGTGACATCAAGTCTACACTGCCCTTGTACACTAAAATATTTGGATATTCCCAAAACATTTTTCTTATAAACACTATTGTTTCATAAGTCAGCTGTGAGTTATTTTATACTTTTAAACTAAACTAATTCTGATGTAAGTGCTCTCTCCTCTTGGGTGTAGGATCCAGCAAAGGGCAATGATTAAGTGTAGTATCAGTTTCACAACTGATACATCCCTTGTGGGGTACTAGATCTTGACCTGGAAGGAAGCATGACTTAAGATTCTAGAAATTCCATTTCTAATTTGGACTAATTCACACTCTGTCCCTAAACTGGATTTCTCCTCTCAGGCACTATGACATCAAGAAGTTCTCAGACTTCAAGTGATCAATAGTATAAAATTTGTATGGAGCCATATTAAGTTTTAAGTTTTCTGCTTAGTTCAATTTGTCGCTGATATAGAAGAGAAAAATCAGACCTCTTTACTTTAGGAAAAGCAGCTCTACACAAGGGAAACAGTGACTCATTTAAGATAACTGACTTAATAGGATCAAAATAGAAACATGCTTCTTACCTGTATTAAATATCTGGGATCCACACTTAAATAAGGAGACAAAGGGCTCATTCCAGTTACTGAATGAGGAAGAAAAAGAACTTTGTTACTGAAATCAGTATGAGCAATAGCTCCAAGACTGAGGCAGAAACGGGGATGGGAAGATGGTTGAGGAAAGAGGGTAGTAGTTATTTTGATCCTGTCATTTAAAATCCATGTTTCAGTTAATTAAAACTGTCATCACTATTATTTGATATCTCTAGTACATACACATTTTTACAGTAATAATATACTGCATGACACAGAGGAGACAAACACCATGATCAAGGAAGTGGTTATTGGGAAACCTGGGTTCTATTCTCTACTCCACCACTGACATACGGTGTGACCTTAGAAAGTCACTTAACTTCTGCCTCCATTTCCCCATCTGTGAAATGGGATGATGATACTTACCTACCTTTGTAAACATTTTTGTAAATCAATTTATCTATAGACAGACTGGTACAAGTTGTATAGATTATTCTTAAGTGCAAAAGTTACAAATTTATTTTATTCTTTAAATCTACAGCCAGGCTGAGATGGGCAGGATGATATTTTGTCCAAAAATCAACCTGTGGACTCCCTAAAACAAGTAATTAAAAGTGTACTATAGAGCCAATTGCTTAAGTCATAGTTAACTGTCAAATTCATTCAACTATATATAAAGTCTTGTATAGGTCAGCTCAAACTGAAATTTTTCTTAAACTAAGCAAGGCCCCCTTATCTACTTATCATTCCCAGCAAAGATGTGAACACTCATGTTTCTGTGCCAAAAGCAGCTTGTATGAATAAATACTGGCCACCCGCTCAGGCACCACGCTAGTAATAGCGGATGGAAACACAGAGATAGTCAAAGTGGCCAGGGCCTCAGCTCACATCCTCGATTGCGTGCCGGCTCTTGACGCCCCCCCTACACAAGCACTGGCTCCTCTGCGATTGCACAAGGCTCGGATTCCGCAGAGGTCAGCTCACCCCGCCCGGTACCCGTGCAACCCGCGTGACTGGTGCTAGCTGCTTCTCAGGGCTCGAGTCAGTTTCAGGTACCGGTGCGGGCGCCCCCCCCCGCGGGAGGGTTACCGCGGATGTTCTCGCGGTTACTGCGCCGCCAGCTTCCCCATTTCCCCCTTACTAGAGCCCTCCTCTATCCCCGCCCGCGTGCCCCGGTTCTGCCCCGTGGCCTCGAGTCCCGCCCGTCCCCGGGGATATAAGAGCGGGGGGAGGGGGAGCTCCGCTGGGCGCACGGGCTGCGGGAGCCCCCGGCCGAGCGTGGCGGGAAGGGCAGGAGGCCGGGCCCGGCCCGGCCGGCGGATACTCACACGGCACCCCGGCCAGGTCCGCGTGGGAATAGCCCGGGCCCCCGGCTCCTCCAGCACCGAACAGGCCGCCGAGGCCTGAGCCCTTCGAGTTGCCACCGCCGCCCTCCATGTAGCCGCCTTTGGACAGGGCCTGGCCCTGACCGAGTCAACGAACAACCTCCCCAGCGCCCCCTCCCTCGCCCGCTGCTACTGCTGCCGTAAAGCGAGTACTTAGCGCCGCAGCTTTCACGTCTCCTGTTCCGCTTTACGACGGACCGGGACGTGTTGCTTTACGGTCCAAGGAGGCGGGGCGGCAGAGGAACTGTTGCTATGGGGAGAGGGGGAGACATTTTGAGGTGTGTGGCCGCGGCCCCTGCTCCCCCATTGGCCTGAGTCCAGCCCCCAGTTGGGGCCCTGTTCCTTGTCCGCTTACTGCTCCCGGAAGGTTTGGGGTGCGGGAGAGCCAGGCGAGCTGCTCCCGCCCCTCCAGCAGCAGGAGGATGTGGAGGGGAAGGACCCCTGCCGTCTCTCCTTTGGGGGCTGCCTCTCCTCCCTGGTGAGCCCAGCGCCGCAGCGCGTTTGGGGGTGCGCGGAGCGGGGGGGTCTCCTAAGCATGAGTGCAGGGGCTGAGTGTGAAACCCCCAGGAAGAGAGTCAGGTTGGGCCCCCCCGCGTCCTCCAGCCGCGGCTCGGAGGAAGAGCAGCCCCCTTCCTTGGACAGAAAAAGGACACTGCAGCCTCCGCCTCCTGCCCCTCCCCCCCGGGAACGAGGGCCCAGAAGCAGCGGTAATAGCCAAAGCTTGGCAGCCACGGTGGGGAACAAAGGTTTGTGCCACCCGCCTCCTTTTAACCTTCTTCTGTGTATCTCTTTCTGTGGCTGTTTTTCGTCTCCTGTTTGACTTGGGGTGGGGGGGAGAAGCCTTTCCCTGTATGTGTGTGTAACTGTGATTTCCCCCACCCCCATGTCCATCGGAGAAGCCAAGATTGTACTAAGTGCACAGAGACAAGTATCAGAGTAACAGCCGTGTTAGTCTGTATCCGCAAAAAGAAGAACAGGAGTACTTGTGGCACCTTAGAGACTAACAAATTTATTAGATCATAAGCTTTCGTGGACTACAGCCCACTTCTTCGGATCTTCTGATTGTTTTGTTTGCTTTCATGTACACCTCTACCTCGATATAACGCTGTCTTCGGGAGCCAAAAAATCTTACCGCTTTATAGGTGAAACCACGTTATTTTGAACTTGCTGTGATCCAAGTGCGCAGCGCCACCCCCCCCCCCCACTGCTTTACTGTGTTATATCCGAATTTGTGTTATATCGGGTCACGTTATATCGAGTGTACTTTAAATAAACAGGGCAAATGGTGTCTTCACTACTACTCCCTACTTCTCACCATCTTGCCTATAGAAACAGTTAATTTCCCCCTTTTTTCATGGAGTTAGACTTGCTAAGATTTGATACTTTTTATAATCTTTCATAAAATAGTTTTGCTAGATGTACATTGAGAGTATCAGTTAACCTAGTCAGAAAACTGATCAGTTTTCAAATATTTAAAGTGCTATCTGCATGATGAATTTGATGGAGAGAAATGTTATGTTAAATTATAAGGAATTCATCTGTTTAAATAGCCAAAAGTTTCTCATGTTCATCCAGATCTGATCATCCAAATCATGTTCATCCATGGGGATTATAGGAAGTAATGACTGTCCGATTTAAACATTGGAGGCCATTGCAGTGATGAGATTTGGTTGTTGTAGAGGTGAATGAAAAGAAAAAGACAGGGATACAGACAAAGTAGAAATGAAGCCAGAGGAGGGAAAGTACTACACCCCAACAAATTAAGAACTTTGTGACTTGCAACTTGCGAGTTTCTTGGCTGCTCTGCAGGTTTTTATTCCTCCAGAACTTCAGATTGTTTACTGGAGTAGCCCAGTTAGTTAAAAGGCTTCAGCTAAATGCTTTATGCAGTGGATTGTATCCAGGTGAAGATTTAAGTCTTGCTGGGTTGTACCATCATATTTGGGGCTTTTCAGCAGCAATCCAGTTAGGACAAATATATAGATTGTCAATTACCTTAATATATTTTGAACTTAAAATTCTACTTCTGATTTAGAAATCTGATTTTTGTTGGAAGATCTTGGTTAATAAGACAGATTCTCTTCTACCTTTCCTTATGTGCTATCTTACCTGCATAATACTAAAATGTAAAATATAAAATAACAATAAAAATGGTAGCATTCAGTTACATACACTTGAAAGTACAAATTTTAAATTCTGTCCCTCCTAAAACTGGACATACATTTCAAGAAATTTTCTGGTATGAAAGGATGCGTGGGTTGCATGTTCACAAAGGAAAAAAGAAATGAGCAAGTTACATGCATTCTCTATTTTGAACTTTGGAATGACTGAGTGCATAAACTAAAGCTGCTCCAGCTCATTTTTAATACTCTCAGTATTACAAGGCCCAAGTTTCATTGTACAATGTTTACAAATTGGCTTTATCAGTCAAGTATAATATGATACTAAAATTGTATGAAGAGCAAGGGAAGTTCAACTTAGTGGGGGTGTTGAGGATCTTGTTCCACCCCTTCTTGACTTCACTCCCTGCCCCACACATTCTGAAAGTTCAGTGGCTAGAATGTATCTGTCAGTGTTCACTGCTTATGGGTATGTGTGCACGACATAGATTGTGTCAGCATAGCCCCATATAGTAGACGCAGCCTGCACTGACAGAAGAGGTTTTCCTGTTGGGGTAGGCCTCCCTCAAAATGTTAACTGAGTTGTCAGAAACTCTCTTCTCTCAATGTAGCTGTCTGCTTTGGGGATTATGTCGGCATAGCTATGTAATTTTCTACGCCATAGCTATGTGGTTTTTTATACCCCTGATAGACAGAGCTATGCCAATATAATTTTCAAGAGTAGACTAAACCTAGTCACTGATCAATACAGTTTTATTTGGAGCAGTGGTGGCAGAAGAGAAGCAAGACTGACTATCTTCATTTTGCTATGTAAGGATCCAGAGCGTGTCTTTTTCCCATATACTAAAGGTGTATGTTGGCATCAATAGCTAAAAATACAGAAGCATCTAATATTCATGTCTGAGAAGTGAATACATCAAGAGCCGCAGTATGGGTAAGGTAATTTTCCAACCCATTCCATTGAGTCCAGCCAATTACTTTGTATTCATTGTGAATACTAAGTAGCCAATGCACTTACCCTGCTTTGCAGATAATCCTGGGATGGGGAGGAAAGAAACCTGTGACTGTATCCTAAAAGCAAAACTGGAGTTTATAGGGAATACAAGAACTAATTACAGATGTGAAATCTATGTGATGTAATATTGCATCATTAGTCTGGATGATGCCTGAAGCAGTTATGGTAATGAAAACTTAATTTAGATGTTTTACTTGTAGCTGATACAAAATGTAAACTTCATAGTTTTTGGTAATATTGCAATTTGTGTCCTAATATACATATTGTGGTTTTTCAGTTTACAAACAAAGGACAATTACCACTTGGATGGAGAATAAAGGACCCAAGACAACTGAGTTAAAGAGGTAAAAGCTATACTATAAACTGCTTGAAAGATTTTTTTTGTTTTTTTTTTTTATTTAATTAATGGAACAATTCTTTTAACGGTCTCTAAAGAGGATTTGTGTCAGAAGATTTATTATAATTTACTAACAATCATTTTATTCCGGAATAGAAGT